ATCCTGGAACGACGATTTAGAAACAATCTGTAATTTGGTAGAAGAATTATTTGATAACTCTTTGATGGCCCACAGAGGCCACTTGCGCAATTAAGCTGTTGTATCTTTATAGATTTGTAGAAAATTGAAGGATACAGAAAATCGCAGAACGCACGCAATATGTGGAAATATATGAATTATCGAAAGGAGGTTACTTATCATAGTATTTCGAAAAAAGGTTTCTACTTCTTCTCAAAATATGAAATTGCGCTATCATCAGTGTCACAAGTTACAAGTTACTAATAGATTCTCTTCTATGATAACGATAAATTTGATAACGATAAAATAGGTTAAATTTTTACGAGATATTTATAATACGAAAGAGAATTGATAATTATTGATATTAAAAAAAATATAAAATTTACAATACGAAAGAGAATTAATAATTATTGGTATTAAAAAAATATAAAAAGATTGGCCATGAGGAAGAGGCAATTATAATAATGGAAGAATATGCTTTTTGAGAGTTTTTCACGGGGCAAAAGCACGGCTCTTACATCAAGCGGAAACTCGAGGGCAACGGCGTGCAGCGATGGGAAATAGGCAAAAGGTAGAACTGCGAAGTATCTGGAAGCCGTAACAGAGGAGACGTCGCAGCCATTTACTAGGAATGATATCTCCGTCGAGTCTCTGACGGATGCCTCGTTCAAAGTCGTGGAATAGGGCTTCCAGATGCCTAGGTCTTGCATCCAAATTCCTTCGTCTGAAATTCAGAAAACAGAATAGTAGAAAAATTCTATACATCGAGAAGTTGTAGAAATTTTTTCGAAATTAATAGGCAAAAAGTAAATAATTCAATCAAAAAATCGAAGAATAATCCTCCATAAATTGCTTTTTAAAATATCTTCTTTCAACCACCAAGTGGTATGAAAAAAATAGTGATAAAAAGAAATTAACAAGTGTAGACTTAAATACAGACTCATCTTTATATAATTATAAAGGGATATTTGGTATTTTCTACAAAAATAGAGAAACAAATCGACAAACCGTAATTCGCGCAATTTCCAATTCCCATTTGCCTATTTTATTTTTCACGGATGCTAATATGATAAATCAACCAACTTCGTCGGCGCTCTAACCAGGATCCTCTGCTCGTTCGTCTTAATCATCCTCTATAAAACCGTATCCTATCCGTCGAGCAATCAACTCATAAAAGAGCCATAGAAAGAGAAAAAAACAAAAAAAAAACGAATAACGAAAGAAAGAAGAATAAAAAGTAAAAACACAACATTCCACCTGGGTAACTAGAGAAGAATCCCCTCGGGCTCCTGTCGCTACGTTTCCTTCGATTCATCATCGGGCTGGAGGGTACAGTGGTCAGCTGTCCAATCCCGGTTTCACCTACGGTCGTGAGTGGCAAATCGGTAGATCCTATCTCGTTCGAAATAGACTGATTATTCGAGTCCGTTGAAACGGTATTCTCATCGGCAGGTGGTCCATCCGTGGACGACGTCCGAGCCGGGATCATCGAACTCGTTGAAGCTTCAGTGACATTGGCTGCTGATGCTTCTGACCCGACGACGACGATAGTTCCCGTACTCGGTGTTGACGAGTCTGTCGGCGCGGCCGTTGTCTCTGAAACGGACACTGCGATGGTCGTAGTTTCGATGGGCTGATCAGGAGAAACGGTCGTCTGACTAGTCGATTCTGTATCCCCTTCGGTTAACGTGGAAGGTATCTCTGGAATTGAACTTGAAGTAGATGTATTTATAATAGTAGTTGATGGGACGTTTAATGTCTCTTCGGTGTTTGACGATTGAATATCTGGCATCGAAGTGACTGTCGTCGTAAGTTGAACAGAATTTGCAATGGTTGTCTGCGACGTTTCAGATGCTTCGCTTGTGGCAGGAGTAGTCTCGGTGGATGAAGTTGTAATTGAACTAGATAGGGTGCCCGTGCTCGTAGATCTAGTTATTGTTTCGGTAGATAAGGTCGTAACTGAACTAGGCAAGGTGGTAGTTTCTGTATCGCCCATTAGAACAGTGCTAGCAGGAATAGTTTCTGTCAATCTATCTTGCTCATCCACGGTGCTTAACGTCGTTCCAAGAAGCTCCGCCGAGGCAGTGGTAGACATTGGCACGTCACTAGCGGTCTTGGAAGTCTGCACAGTTCTTACCGTAGTGGCACTTTGCGTGGTAGTTTCGTCAGAAATCGGCGTTCTTGCTTCAGTCGTCGGTTGTTCGGGAGCCACGACACTGGTTGTTTCTGGCACGGAAGTAGTTTCGTTGATTCCTTCCTCAGGGATGGACAGATCGAACCCGTAGAACCTCAGAACGTCTTCATATTCCGGCCTCAGTTTCGTGTTCTCGTGATTGAGCGTCAAACCACCGAGGAATCCATCCGCGTTCAGATACGTCTTTGAAATGCAGAAATAATTACTGTTACGGGCCCTCCTCCCCTCGTCACGGATGTTTAATCGTCGAAACTTGCGAAACTTGTTCGAAAAGAGCGATCGACCAAGAGAGAAACTGCTACTTAAAGAAGAGAAACTAGATGCACAGATTTGTTTGAAGTAAGAAATATACGTAAGAGCACACGAGAAAATACGTAATACTGTTCTTAGTACTGTACTATACTTGTTGCTTACGAAACTTAAACTATTAAGTCTGACAAATTCTTTTCGTTTTTAATTATCGTATCAAGGTGCTGCTTTCCAGTGATAAAATAAGAAAAATCAGATTTCCCTCCTATGATCTACGTATGTACATGCATACACGTGCATTTTATTCGTCGAAATGACAGTTCGTAAGAACGTATTATACGCTGTAATGATAGTCTTGAGGGATTAACGAGAATCAGAGACGACCAGAGGATAATTGTTACCCTTAATCTGCGATGGATATCGCGAAAACCGATCCTGGTGATGTCCCGATCTCGCGGCAGACCGAGAGCATCGGCGATCTGCTGTCTTCCTCTGCCAGCCGAGCCCTCGTAGAGCGCGGCCAGGACGAAGCCAACCCCCGTCGGCGAGAATGCAACGTTCCCGTGAGCCGTGTACTGCTGCAGAATCCGCACGCCTAGGTCGTTAATAACGTCCGTGATGATGTCGACCGGCCGATGCGGAACCGGTTGATACCAGCCGTCGAATCCCACGTTGTCGTAGCCGTAGACGAACACAGGCGACACTGTCCGAGAATATTTTCAATGAAAAATCATCGAACCTCGAGGAAGGTTGATTAAACTAACTCTCAAGTTGAGGACTATTGACGGATAATTACGAGATGTTTAATACAAGTAGTTGTGTACAATATTTCACAGAGGTCACGAAAGTATTTAAACAGTCAAAATCCAGCGAAACTGTACTATGTGTGATATGAATTGTTCGTTAAATACGCACAATTATATACGAATAACTTTTATAATAACTTTTTTATATAGAAAACAGTTTTACAATATGACCATGACGCGTGTTTCGCTGCAACGCCGAAACGTTTCAAACAATTTTATACGATACACGCAGAAATTTGATAACTTTCTCAACTTTAATCGGCGTGTAACTATATTTGCCCAAGGCCGAGTGTATCCCATATTTAGAATAAAGCCACGCGACTAGTAAAAAGTACCGTGTTTCCAAGCGAATCGAGCAGCAAATCGCCGCAGAGGGTAAAAGGAAAAGAGCTCAAGTGTGCGATACGTACGCTGCAGCAGGATCAGCCAGGACATCCAGGCGCCCATATTAATCGCGACTGGTTGCTGAATCACTGGCGGACGAGGTGCACGGCCCAACTGGCGAGAAGCATGGACAACCGGGTCTCCTCGCGGAGATTCTCTCTCGATCTGCGAAAAGGAATCGCGACACGGTGGCGCGAAAACGTGGGCCGGCAGGCGCAGCTCTATTAGGATTAGTCTTAGTCGTCCGCTCTCTACGTCGGAACTGGCTCGCGGATGGTGCACGCCGCCCGCTCGAGCCTCTGCCGGCCAGCTCGGCGATTTTTTAAACGGCAAGGTCGTCAGGTAGATAAACCCGTGTCTATGTACGCCGTCATATTGCGCGCTCGTCCCTCCCCTTTCCCCATCGCGGAGGCAGCTTCCCCGGAGGATGCCAAGCTGGTGGTAGTAGGAGTAAAACGACGAATGAGAAGGAGAATTATTCGGAATTATTCAGTGACACGTGGCCGACATTCGTTTCTGCGAAGCTTGTTATGGATATTTGGGATCCGCAGGACTCGCGATGTTGATGAAAATTTAATGGAATTGGGGGATTTAGTTGGGAATTCGCCAAGATTAGTTAATTTAACTCTCTCTTTCTTCTCTGTGATGGTACAATTGTTTTGTAGCGTTCCGTTTCGTTCGATCGTTTCAGGATATTTTTTGGAGAAATTATACTTTCATCGATAGAAATATTATATTTGGGCGAAATTAAATTTTTATTCATAGATTTGTTGGAGGTGTTTGAGATTCGTGAATTTTATAGAAATTTAATGGCGATTGTACGAACGGTGAAAAGTTCAATTAATTTAATCTTCTATGATCATTTGAGAATTATATAATTGTATGTATATTTGTATTGTATATTTATATTGTATATTTATATTGTTATGTATATTTATATTGCTTAATCATTTCAGGGCATCATATTTTTGAAGAAATTACATTAACGTTGGTAGAAATTATATTTGGGAGGAGTTAAACTTTTTATTGATAGATTTGTTGCTTGAAAGTTTGTTACAGGTCTGCAATTCGTAAGTTTGTGGAAATTTAATGGTGAAATTCAAATGAGATTGAGAAGTTTGTTAAAATTTAATTCTCTATAATTATTCGAGAATTATATAATTGTACGTTTTATACTGTTCAATCCTTTTAAAGTTCAATTTTAGTTCTGTAGGATAGTTATAATTTTATTGTCAAGCTGATTACAGGTTTTTTTGGATATAAGTTTGAATGTTTGTGCAAAATTAATAGCAATTGCACGAGCAGTGGAATATAAAAGATTTCTGTTTCAATTTGGTGAAATTTCATTACTGTGAAATTTTATTGTGATATTACAGCATTACCACGCAACTTATTTGTAACAATCTCTATTCTTCTTGTCAAAATCATAAATGGTAAACAATCTTTACTTTATAATAAAATATAGTAGAAATATATTAAATTTTCTGGTAAAGTTCCGAGGTACCTAAGAGTGGAAATTGTGACAATGTTTACTCGTCTCTAAATAAAGAAAAATTCATTTAAAAAATTTATAAAAATAACCATCTACGAAGATTACCAAAGATCACGAACAAACATACTCGAAGACGTGTAACACATAGAACCTGACCTTTCTTCATTCCCGCGTTCGCACACTTGCAACTTCCATTCTTCTTCGAGTATGATCTTAATAAAGTAACTAGTTGTGGCAACTTCCAGCGTAACGTAATAGGGAACAACTGAATCATACGCGTCATAAGTCTTGCTCAATGCTGCGGTTGTTACTGTTCACAATGCAATAAACCTTGTTAGGCGCGAAGTCTTCCAAGTAAAATTAACGACTCAACGAAACAATGAACGAATCGTCGAAATATCCGCACAAACAGTAACCGTGTCCATCTTCTTGATTTTAGACGACAAATTTCCGTTTCATTTTCGTCTTCTTACGTAATTTCAAGCAGAAATTTTTACCATACGAGTAAACGAATGCTTTCTCTCTCTCTCTCTCTCTGATTACTAATTCTAAACGAATTTTTATTGGTTATACAGTGCAGAATAGAATCACCGTTACCAGTTATTATTTTTCTCAGATTAATCTTCCCTCGGATAGTATGCTCCACGAAACGGTTCTCGTGCAACGAACGATGAAAAAGGATGCCTTAAACGCCAATCATGGAAAGAGCCGAACGTTTTCGACTTCGAACGTTGCGTGGATATCCACGCAATATCCGGTGCCGACCATTACCCGCAAATTAGACGTTCGTGATGGTAATTGTAATGGCTTGCGAATGTCCGCGGGCCATTGCTCGCTATTTCATTGGCGAGAATCATTTCGCGCCCGCTCGGCCACGCGAATTGTCGGTAGAAATGGACCAGCATTTGGACATTTCTCGATTCTCTTTCACGTTTGTGATTCCTTTTCGTTCGACAAAAAAAAAAAAAAATTCGAAAAAATCGCCAGCTTAGATCGAGCGAAGACTTTTAGGTGTTGTTCCGGTTACGTCGGCTGGTACCAAGCGTGCTTTTTTGTCGATTCAACGAAGAGAAAGGATTAAGTGATAATTATGAATAGAAAAATATAGAAAGAACGGTTACACGTACGTTGCGTGGATTTCTTCTTTTTTTTCTTTTTTCAAAGAGAAATCGTGTGTAGTCTGTGTTAAAATACTGATGAATAGAGAAGAAAAAATTTGTGATAACTATATTGTACGACACGTTAGGGTGGAACGAAAAAATATAAATTGTATTGCTATTTTTTTAACAACGAACAAAACTTGCCTTTGCTCTTCCAGATTCTTAAGCAAAGACCATTTCTGGTCGAATTTTCAATTTTGTCCCTGTATTTCGTTTCATCCTGATACGTATGCATAAGATGTCTTGCGTAAGATTTACGAAACGAAGGGACGTATCAATTTCCGTTCCTTGGCAATCTTGCGTCTGTGACAATAACACTCGCAGAAGAGAAAGAGGAAACCCAACGTGACGCCTAAAATAATGAAGAAATTCTTTAATTAGAATGTTGATGAAATCTCGGGAGATGGATTTGAAAGACAATACCCATGAACAATACGAAAAATATTCCTTGCATATCGGCAACGTTCACTTTTCGTTTGTTCACCGCCTGATTGCTTCCTGGCACTTCCCAGCACTTGTCTTTCATCGGCATCCTCTCGGAGATCCATTTGTTCATCATTCCAGACTCCAGCATTCGATGCAACCTACGTTGTCAAGATCCCATTTCGTTCAAATAATTTTAATGTGTAGAATAAATAAAATTACAATGGGATATGCTTGAACAAACCTTATCTTATATTTAAAAGAGTACAAATGAATTGTAATTTAAAGTTTAAAATCCAACTCGATAGACTCGAAAATTATGAGTTACAATCGTAATTGTCCGAAATTATCCAATTTTTTTTTTTTTTTTTTAGATAAAAAAAAATAATAATTTAAAGAAAATAAAAGACATAACTCTGTATAGAAATAAATATTGTCCAATTAATATTATTCAGATTTTGTTATTTAATTTTCATCGTTCTAACATATCCCACTTTATATTCCAAACCGCTACTCCAACTAATTATTGACTCTGATTCTTCAGAAGTTCCCTCGCAACTTACTCCGCATTAATGACAGGTAAATAAGGGCTGTCGTGTGGAATGATCATGGCAATAGGCTCGTCGAGAAACTCGTCTGTACTCAGAGAAAAATGGCAGCCTCCGGTCAGCAACAAATCCTTCCTCATCAAGAACCTAGTTCACGGACCCGTTAATTTCCACGGAATTCCGGGTGATATTGACACAAACGATACCTGAGGGAACTCCTCCAGTCGATCAGAGCATGCTTCCCTTCCTTTATACGTTCCAGCAGTTTCTCATCCTCCGTGTCGTTGTGTCTCCTGGCGCGCGACAGTAAAATATGGTACTTAGGCTCCTCGGCGTTCTGCAGATACGTCTCGAGAAAACTACCGTTCGGAAAGCCCCAAGTGATCCTGTCTTTACGCGCGATCAGATCATCCACGGTTAGGACCGTGTCTATTCGTGGAAAAGTGAGAAAGGCGACCAGACTTCCGGAGTAAGTCGCTACCAGGACCATCACGATCAACCACCAGATACCGATCAGCAAACGAGCGCTGTCACAGTGCGGCAGATACATTCCTCCTGGAATTTCGTGGATTTTTTTCTTTTGCTCTTTTACTTTTCTCTTGATGGCGTGCGATTTTCTTTTGTAGGAGGTATATTTTGCTCGGTGAATTTTAAAGAGAGAGGATGGAGGCAGGCGTTTGACTGCCGTACAAGAATGCGAAGAATTTAGATACATATAAAATTATCAAGGTGTTGATTATTCTGACAGTGATTATCTATCTATCGTATTTTCCACTTTTATTCGAGAAAAACAACTTTGAAAATCTACTCTAAATCAACTTTTAATCAGTAATTTATGATATTTTATTTAATCAAATTATTTGTATTTTCAAGATTAAAAAAAATGACTGACCTTAAGAAATATAAAGAGTACACTACAAAGACTGTATAATAATTTAGTTTCAAAGTCACAATTGTGCGTAGAATAGTATGATCAATGATTAAAACAATTTTTACATTAATTTCAAAAAGTAATATAGAGTTCTATCTTCATTCAAATCACACAAGAAAGAAAACTAATAACACAGATCAATAATTAATAAATCTTAATAGTAAATAAGAGCAGATAACAGCATTGTTCGTACAAGCACGAGTAACAAAAAGAAGTTTGCCCAAGCCGTAACTTGAGTTGAAACCTTATCTTCTCATGGACGAAACGTCACATTTCAGGTACCACAAATATTCAAATAATATCCTGAGTCAAATAAAATTTGAATACAATAAGTACAGAAAAATTCGACCCCGTTATAAAATCACCGAGGGAGTAATAAAATCAGCGGTGAATAAAACTAGCAGGAAACTTACATCGCGTGAACGTGCGAGAAATAGAAGCGATTTACGGGACAATAGTAAAATCGTACCTTGTTGAAGAAGCGCACCGTACACGTACCACACACACTGCCACGAGGAGTTGAGGCCCGAGGTCCTGATGCTGTACGGGCTGTACTTGTGAACCAGGTACAAGATCGGACCCATTATGATAATGGATGCGGCCAGACAGGCCCACGTCTAAAAGGCAGTCGGAACGTTAGGCAGGGGAATGCCAGCACGGAACATACCGAACCGAACGACGACAATCTTTATAGTTCATGTCATTATGCGCTATTACGCAGCGGAATGTCGAAACATTAACGAACGCTTTTAGAACGAGCATCGAGGTATCTCTCTGCGATCTTTGCGTAACTACGTCAATTCGTTTCTGTCACTGTGAGAAATCTTGTAAGAAACTATTAAGAAACTAATATTCGGTAATATCGCATGTAAATACGACGTTTGCTTCGCTCCGATTTTATCTTCCAGCTATTTAGTTACAGATAACTCTAACGTGTAATAATTTGAGAATAATTTACTCAAAAAGATTGAGGAAAATTAATTTTTCCTTCTCCAATGAATAAAATTAACAATTTTGATTAAACGATTAATTAAAGAGAATCTGACTGTATTCGGGGATTATCCGTATTGTCTAAAGATTTATTATAATTATTTGAACAAGTTCTACAAGGCACAAACCTCTTCGGTAAATGGTGAGGCAAACAAAAGAGCTCTAGATAATTGTCTGGGCCTGGAAGTTAGAAAACTATATATCTGTACGAAAATGGGTACAGTAAAATTAACTGTGCCTTTCTCCTGTTCGTTTACGGTGACCGCGCAAGCAGCTAGAAGAACCTTCTTCTCTCGTACCAAATCGATCACTTCCTTCGGCACTCTCCTCGTAGCCGACATGGTCATTTCATTAATTTTCTAAGAAGAGAATTGATTAACAGACGATGGAGATGATAGAAAAGGTACGGCGAATGGAAATTCTCACCTCGCCAAGCTTGGCGAACCGAGAAGTATTCCAAGAGTTTATACTTCGAGTCACTTCCGGCGTAATCACCGCGTAAGAGAAGTTCAATTTCGAGCTTAGGTAGTTGATAGCGTCGAATACCAATCCTTCATACACTTTTTGTCCTGTTTTACTCAGGGAAATTATCTGCCACGGTGGATTCTAAAATAATATACTCGATTATGTAGCTTGAAGTTGAAATGTAAAATATTCCAGCGAAAGCTTGACAAATTAACGTTACTTTTCAGGTAATAATTCAACAAATATTATTTCAGCTTAACTTTGTATTGAATGAAAAAGTTGGGAGATCATTACAATTGTTAAAGTTGTTATTGCTAAATTTATCTTGAAGAGTAAAAGGACTAAGTTAGAAAAATGAATAGTCTATCCATATAGGTAATTTCTAAAATTAACTTCTCTTTCTAAAGTGTAATTCCAAAAATTCTTTTCTGGAAAGAGTGAAAGTTAATAAATTGGAAAATTATTAATAATCATTTGCTCACGTGATAACTCGCGATTGGTAAATTAATGCCCCTGAATCCATGCGCGATATGAGGGAAAATCATGTCGGTCAGATTCACGCCAAAATCAGGTGTCCATACGCCTATATCTAACAGGTGTGCCACATTTTTACCATGAGAAAAGAAATTTCCCCAAGTTATAGACGAGGAGAATCTCCATAACAAGCATCGCGCGCAGATACCTTTTGAAGCCAACATTTTTTGAGAGAGGAGTATCTGACGGAAACACAATTTCGATTTTAGTTCGGTTGAAGCACGTTTCGTTTTAAGTTTGCGTACAATTTACTGACTCTCACGTTCTTCAGGAGTTCGGTTCGCCTCTCGCGCTTCGTCAGCCTGATCATCTGGAAGTTCTCCTCTTCGATCCTCTTGAACAGATTGATCTCGTTCTCTAAGGAGTATTCCAGAGCTTTTGCCAGTGCTTGGATCAATTCCTGCACGTAACACATCAAGTCAACCTAAAACAGAAATCTGTTTATCATATATGAAAGAAACTTTCCACAAGACTTGCTTAATTTCTTTTTTAGAAAAAGTTATTTCTTAATATTATTAGATTGTAAACTCGTAACTCGTTTGTGTTATATTGAGCAATAATTGGTGCAATTTCAGCACTTGATTATCTGAAAATACCAATCATTACTTTGCAATAATCGCTGGAATTAGTCACGTTGTACATGAAGGCTACGTTTCCTCCTTCTGCCAATAAATCAACGTATGCTGTCATGTTAGTCCGATTCTGCATCGCGCTGTCGGTGATCACATACAACCACTGACTGTCTGGACGGACCATCTTCAAGGATCTCGCCTTCAAAAAAATCCCAATCTAAGAAATTCCTCCAGACCAATTCTCGAAACCAGTAATATTTATTTTCAAAAAGCTATTTCACTATGAAAGAGTTGAAGAAAGATAATGCATAGATTCACGCAGAAAAGAAAAGATCTACAATGTTTTGTAAGAAACAAATTAACATCTATATATAAAATTGTATACTTTATATCTCACCACACTCATCACGTCAGCAACCATATCGATAGTAGCAATAACCAAGAAACAATGTCCTAGTTGTTCCACGTGGAAATCGTCCAATACCTTCTTCACCGAATTTCTTCTCTCGCTCTTCGTAGCATCGTGTTTCAGCGTGAAAATCGACCTGGAGATTATGTTCAATTGTTTGTTCGGTAGCCTGTCCGAGATGGCTTTCATTACTCTGCTGATCGTGTCTCTGTCTGAAACGATCCGGATTAGAAATACAAACAGGATTAGATGAAAGGATCTGTGTGCCGTTATCGCGGTTACTATCGAGTCGCTCTTATTACCGAACGTGTCGTCGTGGAGGATATTTATCATGTTCCAGGTTAGAATTTTCATCATCCTTAAGTCGAGAAAAATCTGTGACAATTCGTTTCCTGGCACGATCAGTGGCATGCTCATGCCATCCGTGTCTGGGATTCGGGGACAATCTGGATCTTGAAATGATATACTTAAGTTATTTAGAATAATGTTTTATTATCCAAGGTTTTTCTAAGTTAGTATGTCTAAAAAATAGCATGGTACCTGTTATAGCAAAATGTATCAATTCTTCCTTTCGTGCATCCTCGTGCAGATGCCATGTTAAATAGCAAGTGGCGACAGATAGAAGGATTGTGTAGTCTTATGGTGATTGAGTAACAATGAAAGTTAATGAGCACCCGAAATGGTAATTGATCATATTTGAAAACAAAGAGTTTACCTTGCCGTAGATTGACATTCGTATCGCGAAAAATATGAACAACTATGCCACCTATCTGCATCTCCTTTCTCACGATGTCTGCGATTAAATTGTGCATCATCCCTGTGACATTTCGGTACTCGTCTTTGGTAGCAAAGAGGCTTTTGTCGATGATGACCGCTGTTTAAAAAAATTCTATTTCACTGAACTTGATTCGATTATATTTCTTCCTAAGGATAATGTCACTCGAAAGAAGAGCAATTTTTGCATTTCTCTTTTCTCTTTTTTCTTCTTATTTTAAGAGGAGAGAAATCACTCGTACCCATAGTGGCGTTCTTGGCAATCAAAGATGGAAAATCGTTGTAACAGTTCCCATGAGTAACACACCAGAGGAGCAACAGAACCGATATCATTTCTATTGACAAACTGAAATAACAGCACGTCGTATTGCTCGTACAATATATAACCAAAGACACCAGTCGTATTTCTCGTACAATATATAACCAAAGACACCAGTGAATAATGTATCACTTCATTAGTTGGCCGACTCGTTATTACAAGCCGAACTGATCGCGATCACGGCCCGTGTGCCGAGCAGGTCTAATGCAATTCGATACACCGCGAATCGCAAGAAAGGTCAGTTCTTTAATAACTAACCACCGAACGATCGAATCCCCGTGAAATTGAAACGAGACATTGTTTAGCCTGATTGCGTGTGCTATCAAACTCATCGCGAAATTCGTTCTAAGCTTTTCAATATTAAATATAAAATTCTCGGAAAAATTTATCAGAACGACAAATCATATTTCATTCCCAAGAGTCGACGATATCTATACGTACAATAAGAGCCCTCAGCATATGAACGTATAATGAATTTAAGAATTAAATATACATATTTAGAGATCTAAATACTCCGATAAGAAGAGAAGCGCATTCCTGGCTGATTAACATTGTGCTAAATTACAGTTTCGAAAATGACACTAAAAGAAAATAGAGATAAAGGTAGGATAAATTGGGGGGATAAATTTAATTTTGAAGTAGCACTTTCCATTCGTTTGTATGCAAGACATTGACAACGAGTAATATTATTACCTCGCACGTTCGTCACAGCCAAGAGACAATTGTATTGTTTCATATCGGTTGGTATACCACTTCCGTATAGCGAAATCAGAGATAAAGCCTGATGGCGTTGCATTATTTCAAACCTACGCGTCGACATTGCTAATGAGAAAAATCATCCATTGCTCGATGATTTTATTTTTCAGAAACGTTTCAAATTCCTTTTTGTTCGGTGTCGTTCTTTGTTCCATTTTTTGCGCCGATAACATATACACGCTACTATATGTTACATATCAAGGAAAATAATCGTAGATTCTTTATTACTCTATTCTCTATTACTTTTATAAAATTAATTTTTACAATACGCATCAAAATATTGGTAATGAGAAAAGCAATAATTGAAAATAGAAAAAAGTGCAATTATTATTGTGCGCTTATGAACGGAAGTCGATGTGTCGCAATGCTTATCTACGGCCAAGTGAGGAAAGAAAGCAAACAATTTACGATTTAAATCACCTCGCGTCTTGATTCGCATTAATTACACTCTGGCATTCCAGACGTCAAATCAAACGAAATAGCTTAGATATAACGTGTGACGCGTGATAAAAAATTTAGTGCAAACAAAAGTTAGAAATCAGCGAGTCGAAACGCACGATATAGAGAAAGAAAAACGAAGAGGGAGTTATTTTTCGTGAGTAGTTCGCGCTTCTACGTCCGTTCGTGACAATTCGGGCGACATCGTACGGTCAGAGTACGTACGATGCCTCTATTACTCGACAGTTGGCTCTAAATGCATCGGGAAAAACCGTGCAAGGCAGTAGTAACATTCTGTGTACGTTTATATCTTGTACGATGTATTCGTAACACGTACACATAGGAACGGACGAATCTTCTCGGGAAATCTAGTCGACGTTAAAACGTCGGGCTCAAAGCTTTTGTGAGATGTCAAGCACCGTACATTATGATGGGTTGAATGTGTTTGAAAAAACTGTTAGACTAATCGCAAACGATAGAGCACCGTTCGAAAGCAGAGGCGAACCAGTGAGAGGAATAACACGGACGGGAAAAAGTGGGAGTGAAAGTGGAAAAATTCACTTTTCCGAAATTATATGAGAAACAAAGGCACGTTCCTAGCGATACGTGATCCAGGCTGCTGATGTTTCGCAAAAACGATGGAGCCCGAGGAACCTCTGTTACAAGGGATCCTGCTGTTACCACCGCAGGGAATGCTAGGCCAGCTCAAGGTTGGTTAATGTTACCACGGATAAACGTGTATTTCGAATTCTCACGATTAATTGGCATATCGATTTTCCCAATGATTTCATTTACTTAAATCGTTTGAATAAATGAATATATTGAACGATTAATCATTTGTTATCGATGATCGTCATCGGTGATGGATTAACCTAAAATTCGCACGATATGGCTTCAGACATTTCAAGCATACGCAACGACACTGAATCGAACTTGGCACACGTCATTCTTGATTCATACCAACGCGATTTTTCAAATGCACGAAATTTCTTTCTTTCATTTCTTTTAAAATCGAAGTATTTATATTTCGAGAGATTTATGCTGTTTGTTTTTTTGTTTTTTGCAGAAATCTTGGCACAAAAGATTCTGTCAGCTGTTCAGAACTAGTAACTATGGGATCAAACGAGTAGAAATCTATGATAATCAAGAAGAAGCTATATTACAGTTACATGCTCCTCGTATCATCACATTAGATGCTTGCATTAAAATAGCACCTAGCAATCAGTCACATGTATTTACTGTAAGTAAATATTTAATGAGAGATTTTACAAACAGTAGAATGTCTATTCATTTCTTTATTTTTGTTGCACGCAGGTTGTGACTAAGTCAGGAATTCACTACTTTGGATGTTATTCGGAATCTGATATGAGTCATTGGATTACTGCATTTCAGTTAGTAGCATTTAAAGATAGTGTTTCTAATCAGACAATAGAGGAAAATAACGATTTATACTGTACCAGTGGAGAAGGAGTGTTTTCTGTAAAAGTTGTAGAGACAGATGCTTCTAAACGATGTGGTCTAGAAACTAGAAACTATACACTTGTAGTAGCTGCTGTTGATATTAAATTAATGGATGGAGATGTAGTTCTGTTCACTTGGCCATATCGCTATATCAGGAGATATGGTTACAAAGATGGAAAATTTATTTTTGAAGCAGGACGAAAATGTGAATCTGGAGAAGGTTCTTTCCGCTTGGAGCACAGTAGTCAACAAGAAATTTTTCGTTGTATGTACTCGAAGATGAGGTCAATGAAAAAATTAATGAATGAGGAAAATAACTCAAATATTGACTGTAATGACGCTCAATATCATGCAGCATTATCAATGGAGGCTGGATCTAGAGCGGCCTTACCCCCTTCTCCAAATAGTTCTGCCAATTTAATTGATATTGATTTTTCACCACAAAATTCACAGAAACAGTCGACTTCTTCATCTAATTTAGATACCAGTTCATCTTCTAAGCCATCTTTGTCTATTGGTAAACCGAAACCTGCGAAACCACCGCGAAAATATGTTTTCACAAGCTTATTAGACAAGAAAAACGTGGATGCTGAATTATCAGACTTATCTGCTTGTGGAGAATACAAAGCATTAAATCGTGATAATTCGCCAGAAATGTCTCAAAAGACGATAGGAAGTTCGATATTAGATGACGAAGAGAAACATCCTTATGATCTAGTAGAAGTAAGAAATGATGCATGGAAAACTCATGGTATCGACAATATACATCACACAGAGAGATCAAACTCGTTATTGCATAATGATAAAGACAAAGAAAACGAGGATGATTTTCAGTACGAAACAATGATGCCTATTATATCGTCTCAAAGCTCGTCAAAGAGTAAGTCTAGTATTACGGACAGTCCAGTGACTTCGACCCATATATCGAATCATATACCCAATGATGAATCTGATTATGATAAGTTGGAGCATTTTGGCTCGGCGACTAAAATTAATCAAAAAGGCACATTTAAATTTGGAAACTTTAGCAGCACGTCTCAAAATTCACATTCGAATATATCTTTAAATTCTGCTGCCGATACCAATACTACATGGTCTAATTATGATATCGTCGAGGATATGTCTGCTGTTAGATTAGCAGATGATAGCCACCTTGGATATGGTGTTATTAGAAAGAAAACAAATCACTCTGATACTGCATCTACAAGCAGTAATATGGGTCCAAAGCATAAAGTCTTTAATAATAGTGAATATGCAATTGTGTCAAAACCAAAAAGGGTGTAAGAGATTCAAAATAATTTCATTTAATAGCAACTACACAAATATATTAATTATTTCTACTCCAGAGATTTTTACTTCTCAAAAATGATAAGAAAATACTAGTCTACAATATGACTAGGGTAAGTTCTTTTTTATTGCGCTGAATAATGAAAAAGTTAAATGTGTTAATACTTTATAATACTATTATAAAAAGTGCAGAAGTCAGATGACATTTGTTCTGCATAAAGATTAGTTTAAGAAACACTAGTCTTCTTTATTACTGTCAATTGTGTAGGAATATTAAATATTAGTTTATCAATATTATATTTCTGAAAATATTCAATGCAAATGACTGATTGCTATAAAAAGACAATGCCTTATATCGCAAAATATAATTTAATGACAAAGTCAAGCAAAATTTTAATATTAAATTTGCATGTCATTCCAACATTTGGTGTACTTAGAGATTTTTAATATTATTAATATTAATAATGTTAATTAATTACTCATAGTTTTTTTATCATAACACTGTTGTTCAGCAGAAGTTGTGCCTTCAGAGATATTTAAAGTTTATAACAATAGAAATTTTTTGAAATATAGAATTTATATATGCATTATAAAGAAAAAGCAATAAGTCATTCCTTTTGTTTTTAATACTATATATTTTATATATACACATTTATAAAAGATTTAATTATTCCACATATTTTTAAAAAAGACATTTTTATAACAAAATATATTATATATATGTACATAATTGATATTTGATATATTCTCAATTAAAAACTTGCCATATATAGTTCTGCATGTGCCAAGATCTGTCATTTCTATAAATGAAATTAAAAATTATTGACACTAAACTTATAATATCCAAACACGTTTTTATGAACAAAGATTACATGCACATTTGAAATATTGAATAGAGGCAAGTCTTCTGAACTTCATATAAGATCTGACGAATTTTATTCAACGATATATATTTTTAACCAAATTGTATATATTAGAAGTATTATTTACACACAGTATACATACGCACGGTACTGTTTTTTCTAACGTTTGTAACATAAAAGATCAAAAAATATTTAAGTCTTTCTATATCAACCAAACTTCAGATATTCTTTTTCTACATATGATTACATAATTATAAGTTTAACATAGCATAAAGAATACATAAAATAAAAAGATACATAGTCTACAATTAGTGGTATTTACATTCGTTGAAATATTTTTTCATCGCTATTTCATAAAAATAAAAATTAATAAAAACCTAACCTAGACAATTTTTTCTACGATTCTTCCGTAGATTTAATCTTTTTATTTTGATCCTGTGTTTTATTTTGTTCTTCAATTAAACGTTGTTCTCTTTCTTTATTGTGTCGAATCAACTCAAATTCCTCTTTGGCAATAGCCTCAATATATCCTTCAACATCATTTTGAATTTTTCGAACAGTCTCTCCTTTTTGCTCCATAAGTTTTTCAATATTTCCCTTGTTTTTTAATTCTTCGAACCATCCGAGATTGTCGGCAATTAAATGATTGTTTTTACAGCAATCGCAGCGAATTATAACCACTCCCTTTTCGTACGCTAATTTCGATATAATTTTCCCATTCCGATAATTACACTTTTTACATGTAAACATCACTTTCAATTTCCCACAGATCTTGCCAAGAATGTGTTTTGTAGAATCTTCTTCCTTGTTCTCTTCCTCTATTTCACTAAGATTCGTCTTCATCCGAATAAAAATTCGGTCGTGTAGATTAACAGTAAATTTTGCTTTTAAAATTGATGGAATCTGACGTAAATTTATAGGTTCTCTCGTGAGAGCCAGTTGCATTCCGCGTTGAAGTATTTGGCGTAATAAAAACATGATAATTTTTCTTCTTTTTTATCAGATTTTCTATTACAGATATATTATTATTTATAATTATTGAAACTATTTTTAGAAAATTTTTCTTAAATTGCAACACGTGTATATTTCTATAATCATACGCTATGCATGTTTACACGCTCAGATCTGACTGTGGTTAAAGGCGAGTTCACATGTATGTTTGACTTATTGGCTACCTTTCATTATTAAATTACAACCATTTTTATTTTATTTTTTAAAAGAGAAAACAATGAACAAAACTTCTTTTGAAAATTAATATTTTATTTTAATCAAAATTCACACCATATATCGCGTTTTATTACAATCAAAACCAGATTTCTTACAGATGCATTAAACAGTTATAGATACATGTAAACTGTATGATGTAGTACATACAAATGATGGAAAGCGAATTATGTCATGTTATTTACTTTGCGTCCATTTCTTTTTTTTTTTTTTTTTTGAATAAATTACAATGAAGATCTCCCGTGATTGTAAAATTTTTGTAAAATGACTAATATTAATTTTGATCTTACACTAGTTTTTTTGCTTCAAAGAAGCTCTTCAGATGTCTCATTTGCCATGCACCCATGATCAATAAAATTACAGATTGGGCAAAAGACCACCAGAATACACGGCGGTGTGTGCTTTCAGATGTTTGCCTGAAACGTTCTTCCCGGTACTATGAACAAACAATGTAAATATAAATATATATGTAAATATATTCCAAATCTTTAACAGAATAATTAAAAGTTAAACAAATCAACTATGGTATACCCTTTGGTAATTTTGTTCCTTTGTTATTTGTTCTACATGATCAAGAAGCTGACGTATTCTCATCTGTAACTCAGTGAACTTTTCCTTCTGAGCTGTATTAGCATAATCAATAGCATGTTCACCCACTTGAATATCTAAATGTACTCTCTATATGATAGAATATATTTATTTCAATTGAATACTTTAAACAATTATTCTGCATTATTACATAGATAGCTTACCAATTGAGCACCGCTGAACCAAGAACTACTATTAGAGTACAAACAAATTACATGTTCACCAGGTACATGAGAAGTGAATGAAATTTTTCCTTCTGAACTGTATACTCTAGAGAGAATCATTTTATCATCTGGATCTCTAACCTCCACGTGCATTCCCATACCAGCACTACTAGGAGCAAATCCGCCAGTTCTTGGATCATATAATTCAACCTTGTAATTCACTATAGGAAAAACAGTTCTAATGAAAATTACAATGAAAACGAATAATTAACTGCATTTCTATTGACATACACATTTTGACGTACCTAAAACAGTTGTTTCATCTGGAATTTCTTCAATAAAACATTTTCGCTCGGTCTCAGCAATATGAAAATAAAGTCCTGTACCATATTCGAAAATGCACAAGAATATAAGAAATGCACAGCTGTGTCTTAACATGATTTCTTATATGCGATGCTTTTCAGCAGCACGACGAAACTTAAAACTATGAACAAAATTCTGTGGGTTATCGAATAGAGCACACGTCACCTTCGAAAACAACGGTGAAGTTCACGTACGTGGCGCTAGTGCGTGTTATCGACATCTACTTTCGGAAAAGGACCTAGGATAATAAAATAAAAAAACAAAAAATGGACGTTACTTTATTAATTTCTTTCGCTGTCTTAATTATTGCACTGATTATCGGTATTACAGTGTTTTTAGGTCAAAAATCCGGTATGTCTCTATGCAAAATTTTTTCATGTTATTACTAAAATAACCAAATATATTCCTAACCTTTAAATTTGTTTTGATACAGATGTTTTGATAATTTTTGTAAATATTGGATTAATACTTAAATGTTTTTAGTAGAAATAGATCAATTATTTAAACTCCTTGGATGTTTATTATTTAAAAAAAAAAATATCAACTGTTTCTTTTTTCGAATGTGTTATAGCAAAGAAAAAACCAACGAATCTAGCTGAAAGAGTTGCACAAGGTAGACTAATAAGACGAGCAGCGGGTCAAAGAAATGCTAGACGTCGTATGCAAGCAACTATCAGCCAACAAATCGAGGAAGATGACAGTGGATCTGGAAATGAAGCTAATGATGAGGCAGATGAAAAGCCAATCACACCTGATTTCAAAATGGGTGCAAAAAAGAGAGCAAAATTGGCAGCTAAATCAGAAAAGAGAGCCCAAAGAGAAATTGCTGAAAAAGAAAGGGAAGAACGTAAGAAGAAAGAACAACTTCTTCAAGAGGAAAGAGATAAACAATCTGAGAGAGAGCGAGCAGAAGAGTTAAAGCAAGAGGAGGCAGAGAGGAAAGCAAGAGAAGAGAAGGAAAGGAAGGAATATGAAGAATATTTAAAAATGAAACAAGCATTTAGTGTAGAAGAAGAAGGCTATGATCAGGAGGACAATGAAGACGAAGAAAATTTATTACAAGAATTTATTCAATACATTAAGCAAAACAAAGTTGTAATTCTAGAAGATTTGGCAGCACACTTTGGCTTAAAGGCAACAAGTATAGTAGAAAGAATTCAGGATTTACAAGCAAGTGAAAGTTTAACTGGAGTTATTGATGATAGAGGAAAATTCATTTACATATCTCAGGAGGAGCTCGAAGCTGTGGCAAAATTTGTCAGGCAACGTGGTAGAGTCAGCATCACTGAACTGGCAGAAAATTCAAATCGTTTGATTAATCTGAATCCAGGAAAACAAACAAGCACGGTAGAAGCTAGATAGATATGTATAAAATAAGAATATTTTCATAAATTTATTTTTATCAATTTATATGAATCATTTTTGAATTCAAAAAAGATTTGGATACAGAGTAAAATTTTATTTATGTTTTATAAATTGTATATTTTATTTATCTGTAAATAACACATTTATAAAATATAATTCTTATTGCCGTTGAATAACTTTTGATAAATTATATTTAACATTCAGGGCGTCATCAGAACATAGTTTTAATAGTATCGATGATTCGAAATTGGTATCAGCAATTTCTTTCCTGAAATTTAGCTATTCCGAAAACATATTCATTACAATTACAATTCACATTTGCATATTATTAAAGATCAGTAATTAAAATAAAAATATGTGAAATCAAAGCTTTTTCTCATTGATATTCGTATTCAAAAAATTTCGATGGTTTGAAAGCAACAAATCTGATGACACCAAGGATCAATGTTGCATCAGATTCTAGTTTTCATGTAAATGCAAGTTACGTGCGTTATTTTTTATTTTTTCTTGAATGTATAATTTATGTCGTCAAACTGGGTGTTGCCGCCAACTTTAATTCTCGGTAATAATCACTAGGTAATCATTAATTAGAAGGATTAGAAGAATGAGCTATAATTAAATTTATCTTGTGCGGATAGCTTCATGAATGGATCAACGTTGGTCTGTAAAAGATTGATGTACTGTTGATTTATGGTAACGACGACTAGCAACACTTGACGACCATTAAGTGTCCCATTTTTCACCCTAAAATTAGTTCAGGAGATGCGAGAGCTCTTTCTGAAATTTTTCCAAGCCCAAAAACAACTTGCAGTTTGTTTTAGAACGAATGACAATGATCCTACGACTAAATACGATCCAAATGATAATATTTTTATTGGCGAAAAGGATTATGGTCCTAACATTTTACATTTTACATTTACAATTCCTCGAAGTTTCCCCGCGTGATACAAAAACATATTATTCTTTTTAAGAGTTTGATATTTCTCCTTGCAAAATAATCGCATCGTCTGAAATTAAATCTGATTCATGTTTGCGCATGATCCAGAAAAATTCCAAGAATAAGTTTTTTCCTGTATGAATAACAACTGAATCTACTAATTTATGTACATTATTAATAAGTTTACTACGATGTGAAATCTATTAAAAATTCCGTCGTTGATGATTGGGAAGAATCAAGATCGATCCCCACTTCGATATTGGAGTTCAATTTGCGAAGAAGGGGACACTCGCAGACTATGTAAGAGGCGACGGAATCGCCAGAGAACCTGCAGTCTTCCTGACGACTTCGTCCGTTTAATTAAACGCTTGTTTAAACGTTTCGTACTCAGAAAAATTTCTTAAGTGAGCTATTAAAACAGTGAACAATTATTGGCTCCAGTCGAAATTTGAAAAAAGTTGAAATCAACGAGAACAGCGGTAATATTTCGTGGCAATCGAGAAGACCTAATGTGTCGATGAGGTGCAAAGTCTTGGATTGTCAAGGCAACTCCCCAACATTCTTACCCAGCGTTAGGTAAGTACAAATTTACGAAAACTGGTTTTTCACTTGCACTTCGATTCTACTGTGATATTTTATTGTCGAGAATCGCACGAAATAAACAAAATAATTTATTGCACAGTAGAGACTCATTATTGTACATTAGCTTCTAGTATTAAAACTACTGACAAACAATTAATTAATCACATAATCAAAGAACTTTGTCCTTATATGAGAGAGAATCATTTATCTATTGATTATTATTTATTAATGTTTTCATAATTATTCTTCCGTTAATTAATGTTCTACCTATTTTTGATGATGTGGATCAATACAAAATGGAAGTTCGAGAAAAGAAGCAAATACATATTTTCCTTAAAATATGTATGCATTTTTTTTAAATTTTTACGTATACTTTAAATATTAAATAATAATTTGAATATTTAATCAACATAATTATGCAAAAATAACATAAAAAAGGATCTTTTTAGCTATGATTAATAACTTTCGCTGTTCTTTTCTTTGTAGGCTCGCAAAAAATCTACGAACTCGGAAAGGGAGTCGACGTGGTAACGTCGCAAATCGGCTAGAATTACTAGTTCTGGTTCACTTGCATCACGTACCGTAGAGTAAGTGTCTAAAAATATTGAAAAAAGTTAAAAAAAACTTCAAAGCAGAGTTAATAATTTTTAATCTATATTAGCAGTAATATCTAACAGCATCAAAGGAATTTCGAGGAATACTGCTCTTAGAAAAATTCACCAATTTTTTAGTTGCGAAAAGAAGCAGGAAAAAGAATTGTAGTTACTTTCCATAAGAAGCGAAAGAAATCAAAATGGTGCACACTAACATCAACGATATTACCATTAAAGGACCGTACGAGAATTTCAAGTATGTTTGTAATTTATTTTTCTCAGTGCTTTACTAATATTACAAATGTATTTTTTTTTTTTTTAATTTTACGTATTTAGGAAGGATAAAAGCACGTCGTCGGGCTATCAACAGCAATCACAACGACAACAGACGAACAAAAACGACAAGTATGGCTCTTGGGGACCGGTGTATAAAAACAAGCAGAATTTTATTGATATGCATATTTGTTAAATATAATTTTTTAAAATAATCCGAGGAACGTAATTTCAAATAATCGTATTAAAAGTCATGATTCCTCTATGATCATATCATTTTTTCAGCGACATTGGAACAAATAAAAGAATAACTTTATATTGTATTCGTCATCCTATCATCTTGCTTTTCAACATCAAAGATTTCGTTCTTCATTAAACTAACGTAAAAGAATAAAATAATAATGAAGAGACTTAAAGTTTCTTCTTTCGTTGTTTCGAAATATATTTCTTTGAAGAGGGAGGAATGCTAATCTGAGGCTTAACGACAGACGAAACTGAAAAAAATACATCACTAGTTCCGGCGGATATGCAACACGACAAGACAAAGATAAAGAACTTGGAAAAAATAGCTGACAGTATTTGTCGGAGATCTCTGTCTTATGCTAAATTATCTTCTCTTCCTCTATCATTAATATCATTAATATCTGATTAAATTCATAAATAAATTTCACAAAGCACAAGTTCCGTAGGTCTCGAAGTGTTTAAGTGAATTTTTCTGTCATGGTTAGACATGCACCGCTCGTTGGCAATCTTCCTTAATGTCACTTCGACTCCACAAGCAAACACATCTTCAAATTCTTCCCTAAAAATAAGGAAGTATCCGTAAAAAAAGAAAGTTTCAATCTACCTCGAATATTATTTATGTTATTTATCTAAATTTGATACAGATTAAGTTAAACGTCGAACTAAATGAACGTTTCGAGATCGAAGATATCTTCAGAAATTGATTAGAGATTGGATGAATGGCATTCATGGAAGAATGACGAAGAGCACCATCGAAATTCCCTTCATCACTTTCCACCCTGAGGCGAGGAAATAGTAGGGGAAAGCTCCGATTGGTGGGGAAAGCGAGGAGGAAAAAAAAGCTTCTGGACAAACGAGAGCTTTGCCGTAGCTCGAGGAGAACGAGGGCAACGTGGTGCAGTCGTTGAAAACGCGTCGACTGGTTCGGTGTTCCTCTGAATGGAGGACCGGGGGCGGATCGGCACATAAACTGATCCATCTACCTTCTAATTTATTTATAATATTTATTTTAAACTTTAGACATCGAAGAAGGACATTGAGAAGATTTTTATATATATATATATATATATATATATATATATATATATATATATTTTTATTCAAATGAACCTAACGCGAAAATTCTTCGTAAGGGTCGTCTCGCGACGATCGAGTGCAAAGCTTGAAGAGAAGTAAAACGAAGAAGAGGAGAAAGAAGGAAAAGTGTCGTTGCTCCGTGGAACGCGAGATAGCCGAGAGTCGACGTCCCGACGCTGCTATTTCGAGGCTGAAACACCGGTAAGCTTTTGTCCGATAGTCTCACCGCCGATTAGTCTCTTTTTCGCCGAGTTTAAGGTGCATAACTGACGAGCTTCCGTCTGCTCCAACCACGGCTCGCACGAAAAAAGGGAGATGCATCTGTGAGTCCTTTTTTCGAGATTCCGAGCTCGATCGCGTTCTCAGCGTATTTACGAAGGAGACGTTTCTCTCTGTTCTCCTTCAAAATTGTTCAAAATTCTTTCTCCTACAAAGAGACAACAACCTATTCCTTCGTTACATTCAATCTTTCCACGTCAGAATGAAATAATCGCAGAAGATCTGTTATACCTGCTGTTATGCGTTGACTCATTGTTAAACATAACACCAAAAGCACACGCACGATCGTTCCTTAGTTTGTTTTCATTCAAAGCATGACTCGGCCGATCGCTATTCACAAAACGAATTATTCCCAAGGAAGTCTCAATCAATTTTCAATTTCGATCAGCCGATCATGCTCAGTTGATGTGTGATGTTTATTATAAATATCTATCATCTTTGTATTGAGAATTCCAGGGGACTTCGATTTATTTTATTGTTGTAGTGAGAAACTACAAGATATTTGATACAAATATTTATTTCACAGAGATCAAAAGTACTGGTTCAATTGAATTTAATCGATGCAATATTGACCGTCGTGTCCCATTTAATAAAAAGTGATAAAAATTGAAAATATCTTACATAATAAACAACATATACATGACAATTTCCCACGAGAAGCGAGCCACTGTATTTATCATATTTTCTATTGAGAATCTCGGGGAACCGAGGATACGAGTTTTTGCTTATTAAGAGTGTTTACTGAAAGAGTAGAGAAATTTTTTCAAGCGTTTTATAACACGCGAACGTGATATCGGGGGAACAATCACGAGACCTCGAGGGCCTCGGATGCAGACCGGAAATAGAGCTTCCTCTACGAGGCGCGATGATCCCTTGCGTTCAAACGTGGAACAACGTCCCTTTTGCGCGCCGAAGGGCGGCCGTCACGTCTAAATCCCGACGTTTCCCTTCCTCCCTCGTACTGTCGATGGTAATGCTCGTTGCATCCGTAGGTATCGGGGTGCTATTTTTGTCGACTGCCAACAGTTACTACTAGTAGGCACCCTCTTGCGTGCACCCGGAGGTCGGAGACTCGCGCCTTAATACCCTTGATTCTTCTAGTGGGCGCGTGCTCGCTCCACTCATTAGACCTCCCTGTCTTCTCGAAGAAAAATGACAAACGACCCGATAAGAATACCGGCGAACTCGACGAAAAGTTGACAGGAAGAACTACGGTACGAAATCTGGGACAACTAATCGGAACGCTTCTCTTCTGCATTAGAAATCCAATCGCAAGTGTGATTTCTTTTTACTTAACTTATTAGAAATAATAAAGTTGGATTTTCAAGTTAATTGTGCCATAAAGATATTCCTACTAGAGGTTGTTTTGAGATATTTGAGAATAAAAGCAGGATTTATAGAATTAACGCTCGTTCACGGTGCATTCGATTAGATTTTGATTTTGTATAATGTTGAGGATACTAATATGGATGTGGTTTATAACTATTAAAGTAAATTATAATTTAGATTCGATATTAATTAGAAACTTCTTTTTATTCAAATGCAGTATAAAAAATGTAGTTAATTTGAACTTTATTAGCTAATTGAGTAATATTATCGTAAATTAAGTAAATTAAGTAGATTAATTTAAACATTCTGTGTAGTGTTATGAAATATCAAAGAATTTAAGATGAATAATTTGAATAGTAATTGCTTGTTTATCATCAAGATTTCTTATGTTGCATCAGATGCAAAGAACACCTTTGACATTATTTTTTTGAATCGAATATTTAAACGGGAAGTGTTATGAAATACGACATCCGTTCCATACACATCAACCTCCACTTGGTTTTACAACCTTTAAAGCACTCATATTAATTATACCAACTCAGAAACGCATCAGATTAGAGACGGATGCTCGATGTTGCCTGACACAAGTAGTTTTGACAATTCATACACAGACGCGCACGTGTCTGTCATGCTGCAGGCGCGCGTGCCCCACATTAACGTTTACCATAGGGGAACCTCGAAAATAAGGGGACGCGTCCATTTTAGGAAATGCATCAAATGAAAAAGAATAAGATAAGAAAGTTGGGAGGAACTTTTGGAAATAGGGGATACCTGAACGATCTATATTTACTCTCTTCCCTAAAGTTGGCTAGATAGTCGATCGGAAGGCATTGATCGAAGACCCTCTATTGAAACGTGACTCTCTTTTACAATAACCAAATAACTAACTTTATATAATGTCCTTACATCAGAAAAATTTTTTTCTACTTCAAAAAATTTTCCGCGATTCACTTTCTAGTCAAATAATTTTACACAACTCGTTGCATTAAAAAAGATTGTTAATAAAGGAATTGACAAAAGTAGTTGCTGAATATACAAGATGCTAAAAATCTGTAGCTGAAAATAATCCCGACAATCTCCAAGAAATACGTTCGCGAACCAAGTGGAGGTCATTGATTCATAGCTCGCGAACATGCGGCTTGATTGAACAATTCCAATTGATTTATCACAGATTCCTCGTGGGGTCGTCTCGTAAGAAATCTGATCTTGCAGTTAGGTGAGTCTAAATATAACCAGGAAGTAACGTCGGTAGCAATTTACGTATGTTCTCGTCACCTTCTGGGCACAGCACGCGCATAAACCACATGCTAGCAAGGCTAAGCCCCTGATAGAGGTTCCGACCGCGTTATTGCATTAGCCTGCAGGCACGTGCGTGCGTGGGTACAAAGAGAATTAGTAAGTGGCGTTTGAGGTGTCAAGGGTGTCGTTGAGGTCCGTGCACGGATCGGGCAAGTTCGTTCAACTCGTGAGGGTCGAGAGCTGCGGAGAGATGCATCACTAGTGAAAAGCTTCGAAATTTATTGGACTCTATAAATTAGAGCATGGTACACCTCGTCTCTTTTGCTTCTTCCGGCAGGAATGGTTATAGATTCCTCGAGTGCCGTGGAATAATTGTTTCAAGTAATCTCAAGTAATTCAGTAATCTCACTTTCCATTATTTGCATATGTTTTAGTCAATGATATAATTTCCATCGTTGTCTATTACTTTTTACCAACATTTAAAAATTTTTTTAAATCTTAAAATTAGAAAGCGGCCAATAGTGCCTTTTAATGCTATTTTCCATATATTTATCTTTCAATTAAACTTATTACGAAATAACGATATGACTAAATAAAAATATTTCAATATTTTTTAAGTTGGAAAATAGTTAAAAGTTGTACAAAGAAAATGATAAACATTTCGAAGAATTTCCTTCAATATCGAAATTCATGTATGACACAACAAACAATGTAATTCCCAAGAGGGATAAAATGAACGCATCTCGTGAGAACTCATTGACAGGATCTGTAGTGAAATGGATGCAAACGGACGCATCCTGTCGTTAGCATCGTTGCTCATTAATTACAACAATCGCGTGCGATCGCACGAATTATTTCGTTTCCACAGACTGAATCATTCCGCCGTCTCGTATTCACGCGTGGTGTTAGACAGTTTTTCGTGTTTTCTTTTTTATTTTTTTTCAAAAATGGATGATGTTATCCGGGGATCGCCTTTCGTCGATTTAATTTTAGTAACAGATCTCTCGCCAATGTCCTATACTCAACATTGTTTCGGCGTTTCCGCCAT